GTAGGAATTTAGTGGTATGTGTTGTGTTCGCAGGCGAAAGATCGTGACTTGTTCTCTTCTACTTAGGGAATTTATTGCATCTTTAGAGTTGGGGGCTGTCATGTGTGCAAATACAGTTCTTCCAGTTTTGCCCGTTGCCCATCCATTCAGCCACTGTTCCCTGGTGTTGCATTTGATGATGTTCTTGGCTGTCTGACGTTGCAACACAATAAGGTCATATAAGTGCCGAAGATTAGAGGTTTTAGAAGAGAGTAACAAACACAAAAAAGAAGGAGGGGAAATGAAGATGATAGATGTTATTTGATAAGAAAGAAGAAGCAAACAGAGAGACAAACAGCAAAGATTGTGCTACACTACTGTGTCTAGTATACACCACTGTACTAGTTTTAGTTAGTGTTTTACGGCACTTGCAACACAATAAGGTCATACAAGTGCCGAAGACTAGAGGTGTTACAAAAGAGTAACAAACATAAAAAAGAAGGAGGAGAGATAAGGACGATAGATGTATGTTTGATAGGAAAGAAGAAGCAAACCACACCAGAGAACTAGGTCTTGTATACAGAGAGACAAACAGCGAAGATTGAGCTACAAGAGCAAAGTGCTCACCTGTAATATTGGTTCTCGGGAATTTTCTCCGCCAGCTGCCGGTAGAGTTCTTTCCCCTTCCCAAACATGTCTTCCGCCGTCTTGCATAGCTCTGCCACTAGACACACACAAAAGCCATCATCAAATTTTTAACAACATCAGGCATTTCAAGTATGTTTTAGAACCTTCATTGTCAGATAACTGTTTAAAGTAGACACATACAATTTTTACAATTTATCATTTCTATTTTGTGTTTTACTTAAATGAAAAATGACAGTCAATAGAAGTCATATTTTTGGTTGTATGACTATTAGAAATATGAACAAAAATAAATTCAAAATTAATTGAGCCACTGGTCAAGGAAATACATACAGCAACCTCAAAGGCACGTTTTTTTTCTTTTTTCTCGTTACTTCCGAGATTTTTAACCCTTTACAGAGAAGGCTAGGTGTTAGATCTTTCTTACCATAAGATCAGGGATGCAACTGAAAGACAACAGAAAGAAGAAGTCAAGAAGTAGCAGTAGAAAGGCTGCAGACAGACTCAGGAGCCCTGAGGAGGGGGCAAAGGGGAGGGGGCGGCAGATAGTGGACACGAAAGCAGCCGACGGTACACAGTTAGAGAGTAGGAAAGGAGTAGAAAGGAAAACTTTTAGAGAAAAACATTTTATTTAACTCGCTGTCTAGGTTCAAACCCGAGACCTATCGAATGAGAGGCGAACACCTTAACTTCTCGATCACGAGAGCCCCCTTGTCAGAGATTTACGCTTCAAATTTCGAATAGGTCCAGGGGAAGCCAGCGCAAAATGCTGTGCCAGATCAACATAACTCCCCCCCCCGTTGTATCTCACCTCACCCCCCCAAAAGCTACATTAATTGATCAAGAGACGTAACTTCTAAAATAAACAGATTTTTAAAAATAGCATGCCTTCCCTTTCTACAATTGCTGAGACTGATGGCTCTGAAGGCAGCATACCATGGATATGATAGAGTATCACATTCCCCAAGTTAGGCAGCATACTGTCAACATGATACAGTATCCCACTTCGGAAGGCAGCTTACCATGAATATGATAGAATATCACAGTGAGAGAGTGACTGAGACAGAGTTCTAATACGGGGTGCCCACTAGCACGATCGGGTCGGGTCGGGTCGATTTGATATAGTCGGGACTAGCATAATTGAGGGCGCAAAGCGGCCATCGTGACACAAACCTATCAACTCGTTCGGTGCCCTACAAAAACAAACACGTTTGTTTTCAGGCCTGCGAGTCGCGCTATCGTGTGGTTTGCAGCCAATCATAACAAGGCTGAGTCACATGTCCATGTTGACAAGTCTGGTGACGCCCTCTTCGAAAAAGTGCAGACTTTGTAAACAGAGTTACCCTACTTGTGTGAAAAACAATAAAGGCGAAACTAACAAACTGTGTTATAATTCCTTCTAGAAAAACGAAAGAGAGCTTCGAAACAAAGACTGCAGTGCCATCTGAACCAATGAGCGGATTTCCGCGGACACTTTTATTTGGCCGAGTGAAATATCTTGGTATGAACGATTTTTGATAATAGAAACTTATCGATGTAATTCATGTTCATGGGATTCCAGGATGCCACAGCACTGCAACAAAGGAGCCCTGGAAGTCATTGAGGCTAAAGGTTTCTCTACTTTAACTTCCAATTCGTCGGGTACAATCGCGGGAGGGGTTGTAGTGTGCACTGAAACCACCAGAAAACGACCCAACCCGACCCGACCCGATCGCGATAATGGCTACCCCATATTAGCTAGCCCTAGGTAGGGTCTCCATGAGGCCACTCACTAGACGTGCCCTGTGCGGGCTGGTGGATCACCTGCAGCACCGTCTGTATCTCCCGCACCAGCTGGTTCATGTCCCGCGTCACGACCCGAATCTCCTGAGGACACAAGGACATGACATATTATGTGAGGCATTGTGGGGAAATAAGGCCCTCGTTGTTGTTGTTAGCGATCCAGTAGCATCTGAGCGTTAACTCTTCTGCCTGATGCCATTCTGTAAAAGCTGCATGTCTGTTCTAATTGTTGTCTTGAGGAGTAGAGGCAGTTAGATGTGTGGGGTAGCTTGGGAAGAAAACATCCCCTTAAATCAGTTAGTTTTCTACAGAAGAACAAATGATGTTCCACTGTCTCTGAGGGGTAGTCACATAGTGGGCAGGCAGCAGACTGCTCTACTCCAATTCGGTTGAGATGTTGGTTGAGGGGGACACATGTTGTGTTCTAAGTGGGAAAATTATGGATTGATCTCCCCTCTTCAACTCATTGATTGGATCTTTGAACAGTGGTTTATTCATGTGGCCATACATCATCCTTCCTGTCATACCTGGGGCCGAATCATTAATCCAGTCTTCCTTAAGGTTTGACTTGATCATTTGGCAGCAAGTGATGTAATCAGTAGGAATATCAGGCTGAGGGAGGCTAGCTCCTTTCTTTGCTAGAGCATCAGCTCTTTCATTTCCCGGTATCCCAGTGTGGGCAGGAATCCACTGTAGGACTACTCTGACTTGATGCCTACTTATCAAATTATGCAGACTCCAAATCAAGTGCGATATATCCAGTAGCGGCTCGTGGTTTATAGAACTGACCGGCCGTCATTCACGTCGACTATTCCTTCCCTTCACAACACACACACACACACACACATTTTCTCTCTCTCCTCTCTCTCTCTCTCTCTCTCTCTCTCTCTCTCTCTCTCTCTCCCCTTATTTTATACCCATACTTTCGCCATCCCCACCCCCTCCCCCACTCACACACACACACACACACACCACTGTAAACATTGTAATATACTGTGAAAGAGCTAAAATATGCGGAAGTGTCAAGAAACAATATTATGAATAACGTATGATGGCAGTTACTGAGATTAATAGACACTGACTTGATCGGCACAGAGAAAGAAACACTACTAGGCCAGAAAACAAACTGAAAGTGTGAGGCAATAAACTGCTGGTCCTGGCCTTCAGTACTTTACTCGTACTTTCTACACCCCCACACAAAATATCGACGTGAACTGGACCCGTTAAATATATGTAATAAGAACTGTCCTGTATGATGACAAAAAGTTAATTGATACTGTCCCAGTGACGCTGTCCCAAGCAGATCAAGTCTACAATCAGATAGTATAATACAAAGCTGGACAAAGTTAGCACACAACAGTTTCCGATCATTATATCATCAAATTTTTTTTCTTCAACGCACTTCTCACTTCTCAGAACAGAACACTGTGTTGTAACAAAGTGGGGATGTGTGTCAAATGCTAATTATAGAACTTGGTGTCTAGCTGGGGTGACGGTGGAAAAGGGGAGGGAAGGGAGGGGGTAGGCCTGGCCCAGACTCTGACAGCCGAGTGCCTATCGCTCCTCGTTAAAATTCTCCTTATATATCTTCACTAGACAATTCCTCCTTCCGCCGGCCAGACTCTTATGGGCCAGGTAAGTTATTAGAGGGGAGAAAACGATGAGTAAATGTCAAACAGGAACTATAGGTGGTTAGAAAGTCAATAAACAAAAAAGAGTAGTGCCATGCTAACAATAAATGTTCTGATAGTAATTAGAGAAAGGCTGAATGATAAATACATGTTTTGATGATAAAATAATACATGTGTCTGTGCTGCTCAAGACAGTCTCAATCTTAATTTTGTAAGCTACAAAGAGGCCAATTTGGCAATTTAAGGGATGCCCTCTATTCCTTCTCAGGGCTGTCGATGGATTTGTCCATGGGACTGACGTCATCGCTAGGCCAAAGCCCGAAGTGTGTTCTGTCTCTCTCTCTCTCTCTCTCTCTGTCTGTCTCTCTCTCTCTCCCCTCCCTACGAAGTTCCGCGAAGTGATGGCTTGATGGGAGGGGAGACGATTTAAAGTCACGAGCCGGCGCGATAACAAACGTGAAGGAATGAGGCTCTGTCGCGACAAATAAACAGCAGTGAATCCCACTTCTCTATTTGAGCGCCTTCAAATCGGCTAGGTGCTTTTTGAATGTTGATACATGTTTGTTTGGATTTACTTAAAACTGAATGAAAATCATCATCAGCAATAAATCTCTTGTCAACAGTCCAGCTGAAAAAAATCTGACCAGCACCGCCGGTCTTGTCCAGTTAACAAACCGCCCCTGGACATATCTTTCTTCACATCAGTCTATCAGGCCCTGATCAAAATAACAAAATCGCAGAAACAAGCATTTTTCCGTCAGTTAGTAATGAGTCAGGTAATTTTTTTCAAATTTTTATTTTTTGGCTCAACCCATTTTACGTTCATACAAAAACATATTTCCAAGTGAATTTTACTGAAAAACGATAAATGGCACAAAATATTTCATAGTTCAGCTGTCAAGGACTCTTTAGCTATTGGAGCTACGAAACTTTGGCGCCCATTTTATCGCTAATTCCATATGCCCAAAAAATAGACCAGCACCTGATTTCACCATGTCGTGACACATATGCTATCAGACCTGCCATCCACCCCATCACCCAAAAATACAAGTTTTTTGAAGAACCTGAATCCTCTCCAAAAATAAAGTCTGGGGGAATAATTAGTCTCCAGAACTCAGAATAGATTCAGAATATGTTAAGGGAGAAACTGAACATGGCAAATAAATACATGGACTATATTTGCAAACAAATGCAAATAAAAAATTTGTATTTCAACGTCATTTGCTATATGTCGTGAAAAAAAAAACCCCAGTGTATTTTCACATTATTTACTATGAAGTCTTTTTCTCATTGTTCAAAAACTTAAAAAAGCAGAATCTAAATAAACATAGATCTATATCTAAATACATTTCTTTAGTGTGCAAAATAATGATATATTTTGTTGTGTAAAAGTAGTAAGACTGGGGTCTGGGCTATAATTTGAGCATCGCGATAAAACAAAATACAAAGTCGCATAAACTTCGAAATTGTGTTTCAAAACTTCTGATTTACGGTGGAGTGGAAACGCTTGACCCGGAAGTCAACATTATGATTATATTATGACCTTTATTTTAACATGGATATGTGGATTGATATAGAATCTAAGCTAAAATTGAAGATCGGTTCTCGAGCCGCATGGGGCGGCCTAGCATACCGACGGCACTTTAGCCGCGCCGCACCCCCCCTCACTGCTCGGCATAGCGAATGATGAGATAATTAATGAAGCCCATTACAAAAATAGAATTGGAGCAGAAATCTCTTGTACTGACTCAACAGACAGTCTGATGCACGGTGAGGTACTAACTTTAACTAAGGATTTTGCCTACCTCACGCAACTCATGATCGGCGTTGAGATATTCTTGGAAATCTGTGAATATATCTTGTGTAGACGCCATTATTATTGTGCTCCTCCTGAAAATAAAAAACCAGAAAGATCAATACTTTATTTCAGAGTAAATGGCTCGTACACACCAAACATCCACGTTCATGTGGTATCATGTGTGGGACACACAAAATTATTTCTTTTCTGGGCCCTTTCTGTGTTCCCACCAACTGTTCGTGTTCAGGCGGTAGAGATTTAGTTGTCGTTCGTGCGTGTGGTGAGTTATATAGATCTATAGCAGCCATAAAAATTCACCAGTCTGCTCTCGTGTTGTGACCGACCGCTCCCTCACAAATCCAATAACCACGAGGAAAAGTGCTATGTTTAGGAACACTAACAGTCAGTGATGCACCGCAGCCATATGCCACTCTCTAAACTGTGTTCTCAATTTTCACTTCCATCAACAATCCACAAAGGAAAATTGTGATGATGAACGCATTTGGGTTAGCAGACGGTGATAGCTAGGCTAGATCTAAAATCAAGATCTAAATCTAGATCTAGATCTAGTCGCTACATCTAGGCCTAATAGTCTATCAACCCAAATTGGGCGGATCCAGTGCCTCCTTTTCTTCCTTTTATTTCGTCCTTTTTAATTTTAACAACAATAAAATCTTCAGTTTGGTCTTGGCATCCATGCTGAAAAACACACGATAGCAAACGAATAGACAGGTGATAGAACCTTGTTTGTGAATGTGATCCATGTGAACGGGGAAAGACTTCCGTAACAAGCGACACCTCAACAAAACACAATAAATAAGAGACCTTACGGTGCCTTAGCCGGCGCTTTTTCGGTAGAAAGTGGCTATTCTCACCCGCCCGGAAGTTCTTGCAAGATCAACTCCTCCCCTCTTCTCTCTCTCTCTGTCTCTTTCTGAATACTTCTATCGGTGTGGACGA